AGGCGACAGCAGAAATAAGGCCCAGCCCCGCAGCGGCTGCTCGCTCGGCTCCTGCTCAGGGGCTGCCCTGAGGCAGAGCTCCTGCGGAGGCCTGATGCGTGCGGGGAGCAGCACCATTCGGCTGCAGAAAGAGCCGCACGTACGCTGGATACCGAGGCCAGAAAGGGATAAGGTCTGCTGTCTCTGCAGCCTTGCAAAAGTAACTGTTTGGCAGTTTCTGATAAGCCTGAAAGTCTTCAGAACTAACTGCAACAAGCCACGGGAAAGGTGTAGACCAAACTTCCAAGCTGGAAGGCAGGAATACGCCAGCTTATCCCAACAAGCTTTCGGAAGCAGATCCACCAGCAGCTGGGCTGCTGAGGCTCTCCTGCTTCCTGGGGTGATAGAGGGGACGCCTGCAGCGTGACGGAGGAGGAAGGATGAGCAGCCTCGTCCTCAGCCAGGCAACTCGTTTGCTCATAAGCGTGTGGGTTAGTGACTTTGTGAGTTAATGAGCGTGTGAATTGTTGAAGCAACAATTTATAGAATTGGCAATCTAGACCAGTCAAGGATTGAGCCCTTGTTTGACTTCTACTTAATGAGCTCATGAAATAATCACAGAACCATAGGATATCTCAAGTTGGAAGGGGCCCATAAGGATCCAAAAAAGCTTGATTCACAGTGTACATTCCCCTGTGAATTTGAGAGACCCAAATGAACTGTGATAATCCACCATATAACACTACTGAAACTGGACTTACACAATACAGTAGTAACGAAATGGAAAATGCTTTAACCATGTGGTTGAGAGATTAAGGAACAGGATTGAAGGAAACATGGGTTTATCAGGAAGCTCCCTTAGAAAGCGTAGGGGCTGCTTCAAAACCAGGCCTGACAGAGTCAGCAGACTGGAGACAGGCTGTGGATCTGTGCTGAGGCACGCTGGAGCGGCGGGGTACCTCCTCCGCACTCTGCAGAGCAGTACAATAAGTGTACATTTGTGTTAACTTGCATTTTGTGGTTCTGCTTCTCTTTTCTCTGAGTAGATTTCCTAAGGTTCCAGGAAAGCTTCACTTTTGGCCAAGGCAATAGATGTGGACTGAATATGAGGAAATCCTTTTGCGGGCAGCACCTTTGGCACAAGGGCTAAAAGAGGGCACTGCAAGGAGTGGCGACAGTGACTGTCAGCTGCGCAAAGACCATGCTGAGCTCTGCATCTGGGCACATTTGATCTGTTCAAAAGCAGGGATGCATAGACAGCATGGCAGCAAGGCTGTACTGTGCAAGTGTTTCATGGTTTTGGCTAAATCTCATTAAAATATGTCCTTTTTAATGGCAGGCTTGATAGAAGCCCATGTTTAAGGACAGTGAGTTTCTCTTCTAGAGATGATCATGGATCATCTGGCAAATATACATTAACGAGGCATGCTGCAAAAGACTTCTTGCTGCTTTCTGCATTTTGTTCTGGTTTTGGTATGAGTGGGATTTCATTATCCAGTGACAACAGGAGGCATTTTTACAAACAAAACCAAATGAACAAAACAAGAGCTGTAGAAATGGAAACATACTGCCTCAGGTAGGACAACAGCAGGGCTTTTTAAACAGATAGCCTTTATCACCACTAGTAGTATATCACCTCGATTTCATTACGAAGGTATGCTGCTGTAACTAACAGTGTAATATTTACAGTGTTGAAGTAGGAATGTTAAAAGGAATTTGTTTTCTTGAAGTAGCCTAAATACCCATAATCATTCATAGCTATGAAGTATCTTGCCACATGGAAACATTTGTTGACTTTTAGGAAGTAATAAATGAAGAGTCAATGACAGACCTCCAGAATGAACTCTCCCTTAGTCGTGTTTACTTTTTAAAATTAAAAGGTGTGGAAATACAATCAAGGAAAAATACTTTAACTTGGTTAAGAATGAATCAATTTGGTCTTCAATTGCTTGGGCTGAAAATACCTAAAGAACTATATTACTCTCCAAAAAGGTGAAGTACTTAAAAAAGGTAATCCTGCTGTTAAGCCGATTGGGAAAAACCATTGCAAGGGATTGTGATGCTACCGGGCACCATAGAACCTGCTCTTGTCTAACGAGGTTTCCTTTAATTAATGTAAAAAGTTTTTGTAATGTCAAAGAAGTTATTTAAAGCAAACAGGAAGAAATCTACTGGTTTTTTTATTGTGACTGACTACCTTTTGTGAGTGAAGCTATTGTTTTATGGGATTTGGAGCTGAAGAGCCAGAAAGCAGATTTTCTAAATATCAAGATAGCAACTTAAGGTCCTGCAGTGTAAACAGGAGCACAGTTTAAACTATTCAACGTTTGTAACACTAGTATCTTCTAATAAATTCTCCCTCAGCATAAGCAGAATGATTGTCAGACCAGTGACCAAAAAGATACTTGATAGAAAGTCGACAAAAAATATTGATTGATTGCAGGGGACTGCAATCTCCACTTTCAGAGGTGATAATCATCTGTTCTTTCTATTGAGTGGATAGATTTGTAGGTGTTTGGTACTTCTGAAGTCAAGGCAGAGGTGTCTTGTCAAGTGAGATGCCCGGGAAATTAACTTTGAAGTTACTCCTTGGGAAATATACTGGGGCTGAAGGTCCAGCCCACAGTCTTGAATGATGGCAGATTTTCAGTGATTACTCAGTAGTTCGTACAAAGCTGTTTTCTTTCATTTGGTAGAAGATTCACAACTTCAGCAGGTGAGCAGCCTGAATGAGTAATGAACAACTCGTTCACAAATTTGAGTCAGAAGTTTAAAGAAAAAGCCTGAAATTCTGTTTAACTGTAATAATAATTCAGACAGGATTTAACAAAGAAGCTTGAACAAAACTCTAGTTGTGCTGTAATTACCCAAGTTCTTGACGCAGCTGTTAATAACCAGAATATACTGTTCCTAATGTGTTGTAGAGGAACCAAACTGCTCAAGCAGTGAGAGACAATGACTTAAATATCACTAGGGAGCATCAGACAATAAAGGGTATTTAAAATAAACCATTATGATAGCTGAACACATATAAAAATAATCTCTTTATTGTGATTTTTTTTTTCTCTTTACCTGACAGTGTTATTTCTTAAGAATAAATATTAACAGGTGAAAGTATCTCTGCTGAGCCTGCAATTTCACGTTTCTTGCAGCAGCAGTGCTGTCATAACCAACTTCTTCCCCGGCTGCTTGTTCCCTGCCCTACACCGCCCCTTCTTTCTGGGCAGTACACCAGTTTGTGAGGCCACACTGCCCACCAAAGGAGGGACCTGCCCAAGTGGGAGTCACTGCTTCCCACCCTTGTCACCCTGGATGTTGCCAGCAGCAACACTGGCTTCAGTAAGCCTCCTCCCTGCTCATTTCTGCCCTTGCACAATCCGTGAGTTGTCCGAAGCCCTCTACAGAGCTAAAATAGGGAACAGGTTTGACAGAAAAATGGCATTTTTAAAGACTGGTTGTTTTTCAGGGGAATCCGTTCACTTGAGCCCATTCAACATGTAACTGAGCAAACATCATGTTCTCCAAACAGTGGAGAAGGAGAGGCGAGAGCAGGAATAAGGTAAGGATGCTGAATGTCTCACAAAAAATGGCGTGGCCACATGTACCCTTTTGATACAACCGGCCACCTGGGGAGTTGAGCTGAACTGTTGTACTCCGCACCGGAGCAGAGCTGGAGCTCTGAAAAAAAAAAGAGTACTTGACTAAGCAGTAACTAATAGCTGAGGTGTCAGCACCTTTAGCAGCTGTAGCCATTTTGGAAATGAACTTGTGACTATCCCCTAAACCACAGCTACCTCAGAAGCTGACCTTACCCTGAATTAGGAAAGGTTTATTGTTTTTTTTTCCTGCTCTGAGAGCATTGCAGACTAAGTGAGATGAAATAAAATACGCATGTAAAGAAATTACATTGGTAAATGAAGATCCTAAAAAAGTTTTTAAATGGGCAACACTAAAATAGTTCTGTAAGATGTTACTTTTTTTACCTCAAAACACTTTCATACTTTGAAGTAAAATCAATTGATTTTAGATCTATTACTCTAATACAAGAGAGAGAATAAACTCAACACCACTTACAATAAACTTTACAATAATTGTCATGTTATAATAAACTGCAAAAAACAAATAGGTAGTGACCCTTTGTGCTAAATCCCCTGCTTTAAGCTTCAGTAAGCTATTTGTTCATCTGTATGACGGAGGTTTTCGTCTGATACACAGAATACATTGCCTGGCTTTTAAACCGATTCAGTAAGAGCTCTTTCAGGAAGATCGAAAACCAACAACCTTTCACCTTCAACTCAGTAAATCATATCCCATTTAATTCCATTTTTATTCAATGAAATGATGTATAAAAACTTACAAATCTGAGAACTTAACTATACACAAAAAGATGATACTCAGTTTAAACGTATACACAGAGAAGAGCTGTGGTTTGTGACTTGCCCTCTCCCGCCCCTCCCCCCAAAACACACACTGTCTCCATTTACCATGGGGCACTTATTCTATCTGCTTACGCCTTCTGTGGGCCCAGTAATTGCTCGGTGGGCTTCACTGCTCCTGTCAGTTTAGGTTTTTAGGCTACCAGCAAAAAATCTGGGCATCTATATAAAATAATAAGAATCAGCAACTTGATTTTTAACACAAAGATGCAGTGCTACCATCAGCAGTAACTAAAACTACAGAATTCACCCTTTCAGTTTTTGCAGACTTTGTCTTGGCTCTGAAAATAACGGGACTCTCACACAGCAGAATTTGCCAGCCAGCACTACAGATTCACTTTAAAACAACCATGATCCCCTGTTGCTAGAACGTCTCTGCACCACTTTTTCTTCCTCTTAACTCATGCCATTAGGCCAAATGAAATCGTGGACATTCCTTGCCCGAGTAAGGCAGTAAAGCTTTTCTCTCTCCTTTCATGCAGAATGACTCAAACCTATAGCTAACAACACATGCATGTGCTGCACTCCTGATGGTACAGTGCTCACCGGTATGTCACTTCTCTAGTTTCCTTCGTAGCTTGGGTGACAACACTTACCTAGTAGCTTCTCTTCAACAGGCCAATAAAAATGCACACAGCTGAGGACGTTTTAAATTTGATTAAAAATAACCTGTGCAATGACTAGTTTTGTCAAACAACTAAAAGACCTTCTGGGCTGAATCTGAGAGTAGGCGGCCAGTTACTTAAAAAGGATGTGTGCATTTATTTACCTGTACCAAATATACACACAAACACTTTCTCTATATATATATATATAAAAAAATCTTTATACATATACAGTATTTTATATATATATATAAAGATTGCCATCACATTATTATTACAGCTACTTAAGTCAAAATTTGACTAAGTAACTACTTAGCTTGACTCAAGGATGCTATCTGAAACAGATACCCAAAGGCATACTTGAAGGAAAACATAAGGCTAAAAGAAACCCAACACCCTTAGCTCTTTTTAACTCAATGAACAGAGATTTTTGCATTCATTGAGAAAAGTTCTGAGGGTTTTAAGTCAAAACCTTAATCAACTTGCATGTGGACTTCTAAAAAGCACGGTGTTTAATTTGCCAGATCTTCTCGAAATGCCTTTTACCAGGGAAACCTATATATATATATATATTTTCTTTGCTTATCAAACTGATACTCTGTTTCTCATTACACTCATCATTGTATCTAAATACACTTTTAAGCAATCTAAATTTTGTTTAAAATCTATTAAATTTGCATTAACTAATACTATCGACATAGTTAGCTGGATTATTTTTTCACACGTTCCTTTGTATTAAAATCAATTATGTTGTGGTTTGATGCAAGAGCTTTTTGTTTGTTTTGGTGGGAGAGGCAAAGTCCAATTTCCTAACGTGCCAGTACAGTTCTGGTTGCTGAAGACAAAGGGTGGGAAGGAGGCTGGTGGAAAAGATGGCAGGGGTAAGTGAGGTAAGAGGTGGGGGGAGGAAAAAATTGATTTAATAAAAAATGAGTAAAGAAACTTTAAAAAATTGATATAGGTTTCACATTCAGTCTAACAACACTGCTTCCTGCTCCTTTTTGATGGAGGCTAACACTGCATTATCAGTCTCTGTGGCTTCTGTGTCCCCACCACCTAGCAGAATGGAGCGATCTTCTTCTAGTGTAAAGACAGAGTTTTGATTTTGGCACGAATGTTTGACTACTTCATTGGGAGTTGAAAACGTTTTGTCACACAAGTTACATTTGTAGGGCTTGTTGGTCTGTACTAGCATGTTGTCCATTTGACTGCCTTCCTCAAAAGTACAGAGTTCCAGAGTCTGTTTGTCCACCATCGTGTACGTGTCCATGCTCTGGTTTAGGCACACGTGTCTGGCAGCCTGGTTAGCCCTACAAAAGCTTTTGTCGCAAGTGCTGCACTTGAAGGGCTTGCCAGTGTGTATGTACATGTGCTCCCTCCAGTGGCTTTTCTGAATAAATTTGCGACCGCAGATGGAACATTCGTATTTCCGTCTTTTTACTTCCCTCTCTTGATCCGCCTGCTCCAAGTTGTCTATGTCTGCAATATCGGAGGGGGGCGGTGTCTCTGACTGCTGCTGCCCATCAATTATTGGGGAGTCTGAGATCTGCTGCAGCTCGCTGTCACTAATCATCCCTGCTTCAGGCACTTCCACGGCATCTTTATCAGCTGTGTTGTTACAGAGAGACAAAGAAATATTACTTTCTCCCTGCTGGCTAGACGTGAAGGGAACTCCCGTGTGGATCTGCAGGTGCTCACGCAAACTACTTCGCAAATTGAACCGGCGGCCGCAGAGGTGGCAGGCATAGTATTTTGGGAAGCTTCCGTTCCTTTTCATAATGCTTGGCTTGACATGTGCTATTGTGAGTGAGGCGGGCTGTTCATCTGAAGAAGATGCTTCCATGTTGGCCTCTTCTCCTGCAGGTGAATTATTACCAGCAGCAGATACCAATTCTGGAGATAAAGAAGATGGCAGTGGGTCAGAAGTGGACATACTTGTCCGGGTCACTTGTGGCAGAGTTGTAGCTAACTGCGAGAGCTGTGAGCCTTCAGAAACCTGCTCTTGGTTCATCCGCGATGTCTGTGGCCTTGGTTCTCGCCCGAGTTTGTCAGTTGCTGATGTAACCTTAGGGGGATGTCTTATCTGGTGATCTGCAATCTGAATGCCATATAATGAAGATGCTAATGGAAAAACTTGATCCGGGTGAGAAAAAGTTCCCTGACTTGCAAGGCTGGCCTCTTGAATTAGTGGATATGCATGCAGAAACTTTATTCCCTGTTCTAGTCGAACTGGGTCAATGAGTTGCGGTGCCATCTTCCCAGTGTACATCAAATGCAAGAGATAACTGAAGATATCTGGCTGTATGTCAGTCGCTTTCAAACGGACACATTCACTGAAAGGTGAAACAAAATGATCAGTAAGAGATAAGGAAATTTTTTTTTACCAGATCTAGGTTATTCAAGCATTGATGAAAACCAGAGGCATCTACTTAAATTTGAAAGACAGATTCTGCAATAAATGTAGAGAAACGCTTTAACGTAAATGAGCTAATCTTATTGGCCACCTGAAAGATGACATTTTTTTCCTCAGGAAATAACTGGCTTGAAAGACAAAGCTGTTCCCTTGCAATCTACACCCTTCTAAGCTGCTGTTATGTTATAGATTTGTTGTCGCATATTAATATGTATTTTGTAAATGGCAAAGATATTTTCCCCCTTTTTTTGGTTGGATTCAAACACGTCTGTAGCTAAATGAAAACCTGCTAGCACTAGACTCTAAATTTACAATCCATTAAACTTCTCTCAGTACTTAGCCCTGAAAACACCTAAAATTCATCTGGCACTTGCCTGTTTGGCTTCTATGCCTGACTAGCTACAGTTCTGCAAATGTGTGGTATCACCTTGTCTCAACTGCATTACGATCCAGAAACTATGCAGGACAGGCTGTGCTCTGATGCAACAGGTGTAGCCTGGGCACATCTAACCCGTGGAGGCCGGGCTCCTTACAAAGCAGAACGGTAGCTTCTTTCCTTGAATAGGGAGGAAGAAACAGTAGCACCAGTGGTACGCCTGGTCACCCCTCGGTTAGAGCGCTCAACGAAGGGAGACGCTTTGGCCGTGATGCCCTCTTCAGCCTAACAGGACTGAAACCAACACCGCCCTCCAGCTGAGAGGATGCCCTAATGCATCACCATTTAGGATACTCCGGACTGAAACACCCACCGCTCCTCCGGTTGAAGCTGGATCTCCGCGCAGAAGGAGAGGCAAGGTTCACAGAAGAAGAAAGCAAATCAGGAACATCTCGGTTAGGCCAGTTAGCTAACAGGAAAGGATCTGGGATTCTAATCGTTTTTCAGAGTTATCTGTAGCTCTTACATTAAATAAAAGACAGAAATCCAGAAATGGACATGACTGTGCACTGCAGTCTGAATGCTCTAACCACAGTAGGCTACCAAGCCGAGGAGGAAATTTCAGCCAATTCTTCCATTTCTTGAGGTGCACCCTTCTTGAGCTCTCTCTCTCTGACTGCTTTTGAATTCAGATATATTACTCAAAAGTAAATTTTACAATGCTGCCTTCCAGAGATGACTGTGTGCTCTTGATGGAGCATCAAGACCGATACATCTGACTTCATGTAAACTTTCTGAGATAGTTCAAATAATTGGGAAAAAGAAAAGACAAAAAAAAAAATCTTTGAAACAGTCTTATACTTTCGTTATCTTTTTAATGCCCTCCGTGAGAGGCTGCCCGCAAAAAAAAAAAAAAAAAAAAAAACCACACACAAACTCCCTTATTTTCCACCACTATGTAGTATTTTATTATTTAACTGACTTTGGTAAACTGTAAAAAAAAAAAAAAAATCACATTAACCTCTTTTATAAGTCCATTTCTCAAAATCTCCTAGCAAATACTTATTGGGCTGTATGTAATGTTATGGAAATGTCAAGAATAGCGCCAAGACAGAGTAGAGGATAGTGAGTGGGGGAAGGAAAGTGCAAGAGTGAAGACAGGATCCTTTAAATATTCAATTCTAGGAATTCTGTGCTTTTTTAAGGATAAGAACTTGTGCTAAATTGTAACATTAGTGTTAATGAATCACAGTTCAACTTTAACATGTTTTAAGCTGAGCTTCTAGTTTGCAGATAGGACTGGATTCCATATTCCTTATGTCATGGCAAGAAGCAAAAAGAACATTTTCAGGTTTCAGAATGTTGCTAGACCTCCTTACCTTAGCTAACTGAACAACATTTAAACAGTGAACCTTTTTATAGTTACCTGGTTTGATGAACAAACAACATCTTGAAGTAGTTGGAGAAAGAAGCAAGGACCGATTTGTGTGCCTTAAAGTAGACATCACCAATGGCAACTGTGCAGTCACACAGGAAACCGAACTCTCTCTGAGCATTTAGTTGCTGCAGCAGAATAAGTCCGTGGTTGGCCAAATCCATTTTTTTACACTCTGAAAAGCAAATGACTTCCATGTAAAACTTAACAGTAGATGCACAGATGCAACAGTAGATGTCTCTTAACAGATATTTTCCTCTAATATCCATACATCATGCTTTAGTAACACCTCTTAATCCCGAGCTATTGTATAAATGATACCTTACACGTAGGCAAGGATCTCTGTTTCTGACGGGCAATGCAATTCACAAAGGTGCAAGTGATTTGCCGAGGCTTAAAGAGCAAAGCAGAGCCAGGACTAAAGAGTTCTGAAAAGGCATGGGAGGGGACTTGGGTACAGAAACATAAATAGCGAAAGGAGAGGAAGAAATATTAATAAGTAGTAAAAACATCTACTTGTAATGGGAAGAACAAAGTATTTTGGCTATCACTTGTCCGTTCAAACAGGAAAAATAAATCTCCCTTCTGTTATCAGCCACCCGCACCTAAGTGGGGGGGAGAGACAAGAGCAGAACCCAATAAAAGACAAGTTAGATAACTTTTACGTAAAAGATACATAGAGATACTGAAAATTCAGGTTAATAGTATGTGTCCATACAGCTGAATCCAAACCCAACGTTAAATAATTAAGCATTTCTGATGGTTACGCCCTCTCCTGGGAAATACCAGACACATACCTGAGTCTTCCCAGGCTGAAACAATGAATTCATCCTAGATGCTGGCAAGCCCTCTGGACTATCAGAACAGGAGGGGCCAATCTTTTCACTCAACAACTGTTTATTTATTGACATCAGCTACAACAGCATTTTGTAAGGAGCCTGCGTGCCCGAGTGCCTTACGCTCGCCTAGCGAATCACAAAACCCGAGGGGCGAGAGGTGCGGTTCTGCCCATCGCTGGCCGTTGGTGCAAGATAGGATAACTAACGTGGTGAAACGTGGCACCAACCTGAGCCCCCCTAAACCAGGGCTTCCGCGGCCCCCCACCCTCCCTGCACTTCCTTGTACCAGCTGCCGGAGCCTGCCCTCAGAGAACTACCTAAGAGCTATAAACTTTTTCTCAAGGATTTGGGGGCAGCCTTGGAAGCAAGAATTGACAACTTTGGGAAAAAAGTAGCCAGGGAAACACATTAGGGCAGTTGCATACGGTTGGATGGATGGATGGATGGATGGATGGATGGATGGATGGATATACAGCTAGTAAGATCAACAAGAGGATATAAACTTAAACAAAACAAATAGAGCTTTGGGCAGAAAAAGTTAAAGTATGAAGTAATGTAGGTCTGTATGTAGCCACGTAAAACAGCAAGAGAAGTCAACAAAATACCTGGGCACATTATGCCCAGAACAGTGCAGATGCTCTGTGAACAGAAAAGAAAGAGAAGGTGAAACCAGAAGTAGATCAAAAGCAGTAGATTTATAAAAGGTCTTGGGGTTTTTTCCCTCCAAATTTAATAGCAAGTTATTGAAATTTTAGGTAAGGTGCAAACAACTTGTTTCTTCTATACAGTAAGAGTGTGGCTTTTTGGGAAAGAGCATAAAAGCATACTCCACATATGCCAGTATGTTTAGTCATTGGAGAAACAAGTATTTCTACCTGCTGGAGAGTGAAGAATGCCCTCGCATTTAAACCAATAACCGGGCTGACCAAATGCATTCCTTCGCATTCACATGAGATCAGAACTCATTTGAGTCAGGGGTGTAAGGGCAAAGAAAGAAATACAATTTATGATACAGTTGATTATCTTCTTACAGTTAGTAAAAGAAAAAAACCCAGGTTCCAACTCTCTTCAGGTCCATCCTCTCCTCCCTGAACTACTGTTTGGATAATTATGTTTGTACAAACAATATGCTAAAATCCTCTCCCTCTCTCCAAAAGAGGCAATACTTGCTGTCAGCAGTAACAAAAATCATGTTCATCATTATTTAATCCTGCAAGACGCTCCATGAAGGTAGACTTTGTGATGTTATGGAAAACTTGCTAGATTTCTTTTTTTACAGCTTTAATTTAGATTATTCTGTGTGTGCTACCTTTTTTAATTCATCAGTGTTGAGTCTGGTTTGTACTTGGACAGCGAAGCTTGTCAGGCAGAGCAAACCATCAGTGTGAGGGAACTCCAAGCCAGATAGGCGTTCTTTCTAGTTATTATCATCCTGCGTTTGTTTAGCTTATAGTTTCACCCTTATCCAAACAGCAGCCACTGCGGCAGTTGAAGCTGTTACCCTTTGTCAGAGACGGGAATTAATCTTTTCACAAAATGATACGGTGTTTGTACACGTGCGCAACACTAAGATTTTGTGTGTATTTACAAGATATTTAAATGCTTTGAAGTGAAAGCGCTAGAATGATCACACTCCTAGGAAATCAGACGGCAGAGGAAAAGAGTACGGAAAGCACTTTGCCTCTCTTTTATATATGGAAGGGTACGTTACAGGTATCCCTAAGTTCAGGAGTTTTACCCTTAGCTAAATAAGAAGATGATTAACACCAGCGAGGCCGTATTTTACTGTTGACCGATTCAACAACCATGTAAAATACTTCGTGTGCCCCGAAACCCTATCGGGACAGTCCTTCCATTGTACGGGTGACAGGCTGGCCTGGCTCAGCTTTATCGCAGCTTTTGAAATTACCTAGTTTGCTCAACAGTGGGTGAAAAACCACGTGAGGCCGAGTCCTTTCGGAAAGCGTACGTTTATTTCGGAGACCACGCAGGGAAAAGCATGGGCAGGAGTCAAGGATGAGACTGAGAAAGAGCCGGTACCGCACCGCGGAAGAGGGGGGAAACGCTGGGAGCGAAGAGGCAGGAGAAGAGAGCAGGGGCCGGGAGTCGCTCGGGCAGGGGAAGCCGGCCGTGCTGACAGGAAGCAGCTGCTGGCCCGGCCC